TCCCTTCTTTATCGTTCTCTCTTCCTTTCTCTCTCCTTCTCTCTCCGACCTAACGACAAAACTTACGCGCATCTTAGGTACGCATGAAGTCGTGTATGTATCCGCGAGTATCTCCGACTCTCTCTATCTCTCCCGCGATGGTTTTTTTCTTTCTCTTTCTCCCCGCCTCGTCTATTACGCGCACACGAACGCATTTTTCTCCCTCTTCTCTCTCTCTCTCTCGCGCGTTTGCCATGCTTGTTCAACGAAACCAAGCTCATAGCATGATCCGCGTTTCACGTCTCTCTCCTTCTTTCTCCTCTCTCTCTCTCTCTCTCTTTCAGCTTTACGTTTCGCTCTTTCTCTGTTCAACTCGGTTGGATACTATCGGATACGCTCGTAGTCTCACGCACACAATCCTGCGCCACCCCTCCTTTCCCCTGGCCTCTCTTTCCGACCCCTTGTCCTTATCTCCGTCCTTGGCCGTCGTGCGTGCACGCATGCCGCCTATCTCCGTCGATCGCCAGTGTATACACGCGAGCTCTCCCTCTCTTAGTCGCGAGCAGTGACGAACACGGATACCGCGTGTGCGCGTGAGAGATGCGGCGAGAAGCAGGGAGGGTGGTGGGCGAGGGGGAGGCACGGAAGAGAGACGGAAAGAGGTAGAGAGAAAGAGAGAGAAAGAGCAGAAGCGAGAACGAAGACGAGAGAGAGAGAAAGAGGGGAAAGATGAGGGTGGAAGAGGAGAGGGCTCCGCTCGCCTGGCGCACCATGGGCTTTTCTTGTATTCTATTGATTTTTCCAAAAGTTCGTGGTGGGAGTCTGGCAGTCTGTAGTGCGCGAGCTTGACGGCTCAGTGTGCATCCGCTGGTGAGTGTGTAGGGTGTGTATATGTGTGTACGCGTGTGTATGTGGGCTTCGACGATATCGCCGTCACCGTCCCACCGACTGGATCCCTCTTTCTCGCGTGCCAGTCTTATCCCCCCCTCCGGCTGATCTTTCCTCTCTCTCGTTCGCGAGGCGACGTTCCTCGTCCAATCGCGTCGTCCTTTTCTGACACACGCATGCTCCACACACCAGGTCTCCTTCTCTCTCGAACCCTTTCTCTTCCTCCCACGCGTGAACATCACCCTCTTCTCCTCCCTGACCATTACATCCCTCTCGCTCGTTGATCCCCCTTCGTCTCTCTCGCCCCCTCTCGGTGCCTCCTCTCGTGGCAACCTGGCTATGCGCACACGCACACGCACACACGGACACGTGTCGTTCCAGGCAGGAGCGTGTCAAGAGATTTTGGCTTTGACACCCTTGAGAGAGAGAGAGAGGAGAGAGGAGAGAGGAGAGAGCGAATCCTCGATACATAGAATTTGTCTTAAAGAGACTGATTCGGAAATTTAATCAGAGGGAGATCCAGCGCGAATTATCGTGTGGAACACTGTTAAGTCCGTCACGTGAATTCTCGTTTGTTACAAAACGGAGTCACGTAACGAGAATGACGTAAAGGTTAATTGAATACATTTCGAAATACTTGGTATTTAAGACACGCCGAAAAGTTTTTATTTAACAATAAGACAATTCGTGAAAATCAGACAATAAGAGATTTGTGATATTAAATATTAAATGTCTAAAAAAGAATAAGGTACAAAGAGAAATATAGTAGATAATGTTTTGGCGAAAGAAACCGGGTCAATAAACTTCGCCGAAACACGACATTTGTTCTGCTTGACCGCGCTTTTTGCGCATCCCGGTTTTTAAGCGAAATGTGCGATATATGCACGCGCGTGCAGAGAAAGAAAGAAAGAGGAAAGCGAAAACAGACAATGAGAGATTTCGCGACCGTGAGAAACGTTTTAAGCGGCGACAATGTCGCGTTCGCGAAGAGCGCAAGCTTCTCTTCGTACGGCAAAAACGTAACGTCAATGTAGCGTTACATTGGTCCAACGAGATGTTGAAGAGTACGAAGACGCGCGTCGCAGTTGAGCGATTCTCGCGCGGGCACGCCGATTCTCGTCGATCCTCGCTACGTCCCTGATTTTCCACCCACTCATCCAGCGCGGCAGGGTCACCGTATGCACCCACACCCTGCCAGACACTCACACGTGCGTACTCAGCTATATACATACGTGCGTTTTCTCCGTTCCTCTCTGTCTCGCGCTTGCTCCGTCGCAACACATCCGCGCGCTCGTGGTCGCGCGCATCGCACACAACGCGCACACGGACGCAAACGCGGACGCCGAGCTACGTGTGCACGCAGATATTGTACGTGCTGACGCATACGCACAACGTGACGGCGAGCGGCGCACTATGGCGATGGCGACGGCGACGGCGGTCGTGCAACCAGGCGGAGCGGACCGGTGTGTGCCGCCGTGCCGCCGGCGGCCAGGGCGAAGGCAGCGGACAGCGACGACCGACGATGACTGTCGGCGATCGATAATTCCAATCGATTAATAATAAGAATCCGGGACGGCGGGGAGGACGGGTAAAAGGAGCGCGCGAGATCGATCTCGCGCGAGAGCTGGACCCCGTCCGATATTTTCGTGGTCTTCCCTCCGTTTTTTTTTTTTCGTTCGCTGACCGCTCGCGTACACACGAGGTTTATTTTGGTTACAAGCACATCGCGGCACACCGTCGTCGTGTTCCGCGGAGAACAGAATCGGAAATCAACTCTGGAAAATAATAATTCAGCTCGTTTCTCCCCCGCGAGATCGATCGCGCCGCTCGCGATCAACGACGATGACGGCGGCGGCGGCGGCGGCGGTGGCGACGATGACGACGACGACGATGATGAGGATCGGCGAGCCGCATCGCGACGCGGCCGATTAATACCGCAATCGTTAATTGTTTATCAGCGTCGTCGGGATTACATCGCGAGGAATAATGAAAACGTAGGGAAGATATAGGTGTGCGTTATGAGAGACGTATATACATGTATCTGGGAAAACCGATTGATAATACTAGGTCTGCCCGCGCTTTCAGCCGCACTTCAGTCCTTCATCCTTCACCATTCTAAACCTGTGTATATATATATGTATACCTCAACTTATTTTATATTCAATTCAAAACTCTCGCGCAATCAGAGAATTCAAAATCATTTTCAACAAGCTCCCATTTTCGAGACTTGTTCGGTAATTTACTTTGGCAAATGATTGCATAATCATTATCTGCCACCTGCAAAAAATCTCTGTATTCATAAAGAACAATCTACTTAGGATTAAACGAGGTTTAAGAAAATGCAGTTAGAATGAATAAAGAGATGTTATTTTACTCTCGAACAAACTTGAATTGCGCATTGCTGAAAATTATTTTCGTGTAGACTGGCCCTAAAAATCGCCGACTTCCTGGTATTTTTGGTACATAGCACCTGGAAATGCAGCATCGTTGATATAATTTTGAACACGAGGCCTTGTAATACGTTGACCCCACGGAGTATTTTCAGTAGTCGGAATTAAGAATGCATCATCCGAATCCAAACTCGCCGTCGAACTCTGTTTGCAATATTTACGACCTTCTTTACAGCGAGTGCTGCGCCGCGATGCGTACATACTTCTCGCAAAACTTTCTGCCACGATAATCGCCCGTAATTTTACACACGTACATATCGACCCAAACTGAATTGAATTGAATCGAGTGTTCTATCTAAGAATTGCTCCGTTACATAGACGACAGTAATATATTTCGAAGAGCCGTATTTACGACCACGAAACTGTCAGCATTGTCAGTGGATTACAGAAGCCAATATAAGACGTATCAATGTGACGACGAAGACGAAGGTGAAGACGAGAATAAGGGCTAAGATGAAGACGAAGACTTAAGGCGAAGACGGCGAAGACGACGAAGACGAAGACCAAGAAGACGACG